TAATATCTGTTTTGAACCATTGTAATGCACTGATAACCACCAAAAACTGGGGGTGATGAGAAAGTCACATGATGAACCAAAGCTCATCACAAACAGCTTTTCTACGAGCTGAGGAGGGCAATACTTATATATAGAAGGTGCACAGTGTCATTCACACAAACACTAAACCCCATCATGGTGACACACGATGTTGAAATAATGCAATAAACATTAATTTAACAACATTAGATGTAAGATTAAACCCTAATGTACACAACTGATAAGAAAAAACTAAGAAGAGAAATGGTATTTCAACAAAAAAACCTCAAATATGAAGTGTCATGCAGGGAATTCTGTGAGTGTCAATTTACGGTTTGTTACTGTAAATTATACATACTTTTTTTTCACTTCCAAAAAACGTATTTTTAACAGTATTTTACTGTAAAATTACATTAAATGTAATTACATTTATTCACCGAATATAGTATGGAAACTTACTGCTAACCAGTTTTTTTTAGTCTTTTAAAAAAAACAAATTTTACAGTCTTTTACTGTTAAAATCACAATCATTTTTTTACAGTGCAGAGCATGAAATTAGCTATTAACATTGTGAAACATGTCCTAAAAATAAAAGAACAAGTAAAATACAAAGCATGAAGCAAACTTTACTGGCATTGGAATAATGACCTATAAATATAAATAATAATAATAACTGAGCGCTAGGAAATGTGCTATAATCATATATACATTTTCTGTTTTCATATTACAAGCCCCTGGTTCTTTACATTCGGTGGTGATTAAAAAAAAAAAAGATGAGTTCACATGATGAATATTACTATATAAATATAAGATTTTTTACACCTGGAAGACCAGTCAACACTTTGATAAAGACTGAATCATGTGTGTGATTTTTTTTTTTTTTTTTTTTTGCAATTTACATTCAAATAGTTTAATACAAATCATACGGAAAGTTCCATATAATCCTTTTAACATTCATTATAATGATAATATAATCATAATAATGCATAATAATTGCATAATAATGCAATGAATAGAATGATACAGGAATCATACGATTCGCTATGTTAATAAGGAATTAAAGCAGCACAAGTTAAATGTTAATTAAAAGTTAATATTTAAAAATACCAAATCCATATAGTGAAGTCATAATCTAGCTCTTCATTGTTTTCCATAGCTAGTAAAGCAATAATATAAGAACTAACTGCATCTCTTGTACAATAATATATCTCTATCAATGCAGTTTTCATCAACAATTTATAATATATTGCACTTAAGCATTCTGCGTATGAGGAATGACTTTTTATCATTTAAGACATTAATTCATCAAAATATCTGTTTACAGTACAATGACCAACTGACAACTCCAACCCATGTTGTTTAAATACATTTAAGCAGAATTAAGACACTGTTAAAGCACTTTTCCTAAACAACTTTTTGTTTATTAAAATATCATGTCAGTCAAGATCTGACACTCACGGTCCTAATTACATGAAATAACTTATCTAACTGCACTTATGATTTACAGAATCCACTACTCCAACTCTTTTGACTGCATTCCTGGTTTTTAAGTGCCAAGAGCAATCACACGGTCCATCCTGTAAAGAACGTCCTAGACCAAATCTGGTCAAATGTTTTAAAGCCTTTCTAATCTTTCCCTCACATTTTGCTCTGAAGCTTTCCTGTCCAGTCTGTGCCTGAGAGTTCAGCTTTATAACTTGCCAGGACCCTGCATGCGTGTGCATTAGTTTGCAACTGTACACATGTCCTTGAATTACCATAAGGCTATAACTAAATTTAGACTGGACAGGTATAGGAGTGGACAGCATGTAAGTAAACATTTATGTACTGTAAGTCTGTATTGTATGAGTATGTTTGCCTCATGTTGGGTGGTTTCTTCACCAGGATACAGGAGAGGTCGCGCGAGGGCTCCTGGGGCTGCGTTGAGGGTTTTCTGTAGTCTGGATATCACTCAAAGCCCTCTAAACACAACAAACATATTGAAATACATATATAATACCTTTAAAATGCATATAAACCTCATGGTCATTCTTAAAAATAAGGGTTCCAAAAAAGGGTTTTCACAACAATGCAACTGAAAAACCTTTTGGGTTTCTCAAAGAAACCTTGAGTGAAAAGAAAATATGCTGGAAATGTACTCACCCTTAGACTATTCAAGAAGAAATCTAGATAAAATTTAGAAGAAATGTAGCATTACATCACTTGCTCACCAATGGATGCTCTGCAGTGAATGGAGTGGATTTTTGGTCAGAAGTGATGGTTTAAAGTTAAAACACCTATGGATTTGTTTCTTACAAACATGCAGGTTTTTGCTTCACAAGATGTTAACTGATGGACTGGAGTCAAGCAAGTTACTTGTAGATTATTGTGATGTTTTTATCAGCTGCTTGGACTCCGATTCTGACGGCACCCATTCACTGCAGAGGATCCACTGGTGAGCAAGTGATGAAATGCTAAATCTGATGAAGAAACAAACTCATTTACATATTGGATGACTTGATGGTGAGTACATTTTCATTTTGGGTGAACTATTTCTTTCAAATATCCATTTTAATAATATAATGAACCTTTTTCACTATAAAGAACCTTTTGTGGATTGAAGAGGTTCTATGGATGTTAAAGGTTCCTCATGGAAACACTGATGCCAATAAAGAACCTTTCATTTTAAGTGTACACCACATATATCATCAAGTCGAATAACTTTCATTAAATGAACAAAAATGAAACATCAGCCAGTTTTAAAAAAATATCAGTTGTACATCTATTCAACAATGAAATTCATGCATTTCTTTCTTTCTGCATATTGCAACTTTCCTTTCTTTTGATTTATCAGTGGATTCACTTTTGTACTTTGTAAGAGACATTGCTTATGTCTGTTAACTAGTCGTGTTGTAAGTGAGCAGAATGAGAAAAAAAACAGCTCTTGAGAGAGCTGGGAAGGAAGAGTGACCTATTTTTTGCCACCTGCCTGTGCTAAAATCCTCACTACATTTCTCTACTAGCATTCACCTCATTTACTACATTTTCATGAAAATATCCATCAAGTCGTCTAATACAAAACCTACCTCCAATTTAGCCATGAACTCTGCAAAGATACCGAAGAAACACTCTGTGGTGGTGGCCTTTCCATCCTCACCGAAGAATGATGCAACTTTGCAGAACTCCTCCATTGCCCGCTGCTGCAGAGACTCCAGAGACTGCACTGCAGGGTGACTGTTTTCCAGAAACCCCTACATGCAAGTAGTTAAGGTGGTTTGTGATGAATTTGGCAGATATCAAGTATATTCAATGGTTGAAATGTTTATATAATCTTGTCCTGGTGGGTATCTGACCTGGATCTGCTTGGAAAAGTCTTATAGTTACAAATATGGCACAGTTACATTTAGTAGAAGACATGCTAAGATCATATATAGTCAGTGGGAGGTTTTGGTGGGAGGATACACTCATAACAATGGCAAATCGATCCTCAGCGGTGGCTGGCATCTTCTGGCAGGCTAAACGAATGTCCTGGATAGTGGCATGTAAGTCATTGAAGTCAGAAGTGATGTTTCTTTGATTCACTGTGGAGAACAAAGCAATGAAAAAGAATCTGAAAGAGATCTGATCTCTGCAGAACCTTTCATGGAAACAAAAAAAAACTAAATTAAATGGGAATGCTGCTCCATGTCTTGGACAAAACTTGATGAGAAGCACCATGGATTGTGTACATTTGTGTTTGAATGAATCTATATTTGTGGACTATGAGACAACACTGGGGAAAAATATAATAATTGGGACTGCACATGAGTCTGGCCATTCAAGTAGATCTCCACCTTTGGCTGCTTGTGGCACCATCTCAAGCTCCTTCCCAAAGTCCAGAACCTCTGGAAAGTGCTGGCACAATGATTTCACCAGGATATGCAGAAATGTTGACTTTCCATCCACTGTTTTGGTGGTACTGAGCTTCAACCAAAAAAAACGTAGGATTACAGTTATATTATGTTAAAAATAAAGGCTATACATATAAAAATAATAAACTTTACACAAATAAATGATGAACCTCATGAACCCATCTGAAAAAGATGCATGCACAGCAATGAGGCTTACTTCAGTGAGAAAATTGATCTTAAATCCGGTCGTTTTATTGGTCTTGGGTTGGCCGTTATTTAGATAATTCCCCATAGCCAGCACAAACTGGAAAGAAATAAGGAAATCAATATACATGCCTTGATAGGAAGATCATATTTATCCAATGTGTGTACTGGCATGGTATGTTTGAGTATGCATTATGAAAAGCCTGCCACGTCAACAATCTTTTATCCGTGAATGAATTTCTTTGTGTGCTTGTTTTCAAGACTGTATGATTATGTGTGCCTGGATAGAAACGAAATGACTCGGTGGAAATGAAGGAATTATACCTCCAGAATCTTGGCCAGTTTTTTGCTGTTTTTGAGCTCCAGTGAAGCCTTAAAAACACAGTCGTAGGCCCCCCTCATCTCCTCTGTTTTCTCTTGCAACGTAGTCTTAAAATGCAGGCTTTTCAAACGGGTCTTATACTCTGGCACTGATAGCATCTGAACATAAACAATATAGACAAAATATATGCAATATACAATATATGTACACAAGTACACATATTAGAAATATATTAAAATTAAATTAAATAAAAATAAATATTATACATTTGAAAAAATACAACTTTACATATAATCATAATATCAAATGCACCCACAGAAAACTTGATAAATATCCATGAAAAGAAATATTCATGAAACGCTATCATTTGTTATGTACCTGTAGGACAAACTGATCGGGCTCACTGAGTTTGCTTGGGTTGTCTCTGTACTGCTGGTATTGTCTAACCTCATCATCGTCTGGTGCATATAGGAGCAATTGTATTATATGTGACGAGTCTAAACGTTCACTCGACATCGTCATCAGCACCTGGCGTAGCTCGCTTGGTGACAGCTTCAGATGGGCAATCAAGATTGCTATAAAGATAGTAGAAGAGTCTTAATAACAAAGTGTACAAGGGCATGTGCTTCTAAGCTAATAGCTAAACGCTAAGAAGATTGTAGTCTAACAGCTGGGACAGTTAACGAAAGGAGCATGCTACTATCAAGTCTGATTTAAAATCAAAAACAGTACTATCGCAGAGCAAGACAAAAAAAGGACACATGTATAATACTTGACTAGGATGCACACATAAACATCATCTAAACCAGGGGTTTCAAACTCAGTTCCTGAAGGGCCGCAGCCCTGCAGAGTTTAGTTCCAACCCTGCTCCAACACACATACCCATCAAGTTTTCAAATAAGCCTGAAGGACCTGGGGTGTATTCCAGAAAGCAGGTTATGTGACATACCCGGGTATGTTTGAGGATAAGAGAGCGGATCACCTCAGCTTTCGGTTCCAAAATCGGAGGTTACTTTCAGGGTATGTAAGTAACCATAGTAACTTGCTCTCTGAAGATAACCTGCTCCGGAGCAGGTTGTGTTCCAGGGTTTGTTCACTTCAGAGCCATCAGCACACGCGTGACCTACTGATGAGCCTTCAGTGGGCGTGACAGATAGCGCACAACATTATATAATATTACAATATAGTTATGTAATATAGCCTACTAATATATATATATATATATATAGTTGTATGATATGTTAATTATAAAGCACTAATATAAGTAATAAATAAGGTAATATTATTCTAATATGGTTATCATATTTATTGGCATATATAACATTTATCTGTATAAATTATAAAACACTATTATGACAAGGTAATGTTTAATTTATTATATTATATGAAGAGTTTATTTGCAAAAACATAACTAAGATAACATAAAAATCATGTTTTTTATTATGTTATCATGTTTTTATTGTGTGTTATTGTGTTAGTTAGCTGTTTTTTTTTTGTTTGTTTTTTAACCTAGTCAAAATAACCCAACTGCTGTTTGATTGAGATTAACTGGAATGCACAATGAAAAAACATGATTTCTGAGAATTGTTAAACACGGAGTTATCTGTTTTTGCAAATGAACTCTTCATATATATTTATTACATTTTATATTATCATCTCACACATGGATCGGCATTTTCTATAATGTATTTCTATAATAAAAAATACATATCTGATATGACTTAATATTTAATTATCATCAAACAAACAATATAATTCATTTTCTCAAGGATTAAAGATTAAACCGGGAAAAAAAAGAAAAATTATTGCACAACCATCAATTAGGTGGCGATATGCATCAAGCATGTAAACGACCATTGAACAAAAGAAAGAAAGAAACAGCATGGCGCTTTTTCTTAGCGTCCGTTTCCTTAGTGACTCGTTGATTCGTCGCTCTGTTGAGAATTCTTAACTTAACCACAGATAACTTGTTGAGAAAGAGTCTTGAGTCTTAACCAGGAATATACTCTGAGTTGAATGAACTTACTCCCGGACGCATTTTTGGAACCACATACCTCGAGTAAGCAAGGTTTGGGGTTAATCAACCGAAAGTTCAGGGTTTAGCTGACGGTAAGTGAACCGTGCTTTCTGGAATACACCCCTGATTAGCTGGATCAGGTGTGTTCAATTTGGGTTGGAGCTAAACTCTGCAGGCCTGTGGCCCTCCAGGAGAGTTTTACACCCCTGATCTAAACATTTACAAGTAAACTCCACCAAACAGAGCACAAATTACCATTTACAGTCCATTACACTTTTGTACTGTGATGCATTTTTTTAGTGCTGTCAAACGATTAATCGCATCCAAAATAAAAGTTTTTGTTTACATAATATATTTGTGAGTACTTTGTATATTTATTATGTATATATAAATTCACACAAATGCATGTATATATTTAAGAAAAATATGTTACGTTTATATACTAAATATATTTATATATGATATAAATTATATGAACATAAATATATACATGTAAATATTTTTAAAATATATGCTTGTGTGTGTATTTATATATACATAATAAATATACACAATACACACATATATTATGTAAACAAAAACTTTTATTTTGGATGTGATTACACAGCACAAATTGTTTTCTAAAAAAGGACATTTAACTAGAAAAAAATATGAAGCACTGTTTTCTACTCACAAGCATTGTAGGCTTTCTTATGGGAGAGAATCTCCACGACATCTTTCTTCTTGAAAGTCTCCACCTGAGGTGAGGGCTCTGGAAGAGAAACTGAGACATGAATCGTAGCGTGAGTGAAAAGAACTTGTAACGGAAATCATTGTGTCTGCTGATAAAAGGATCGTTAGGTCCTCCTGGGAAGTTCCTACATACGTTCAGCCTTGAAACACAGCTCTCATGATGTGAATCCTCTTTTCAGTTTATAACTGAGTTTATAGCAATGATCACATCATAAACTTAAACGACGTTCTTGAATTATTTGCACGTTGGTCTGTTACTGTAGGGACATCAACTTTACAATTTCACACCCCTAAATATGATGCTGAACAAAATAAACTATGATTCGTTGCTTTACATGTCTGTCAGATGCCCTCTTGGGCAGTCCTTGGCCAACAAAAGCTGCTATGGAGTTCAGACCTTCTGCCGTCAGTATGAAGGTCTGGCTACGCAAGACTAACGGAGTAGTGCTTTCTGGCAAGCTTTATCATCATTCTTCATCCAAAGTAAACAAAAATACTTTGTACAGCCAATATTTGCAATTAAAACTTCATGACCAATAACATTTTGCTTTCACCATTATAAATAGACACACTGCAAGTCAAAGTTTGGGAAGAGGTTTCCTACTGCCAATTACCACATTGTGGTGGTGTTCATCTTTTTTGACATAATTTGAGAGCAGCTCCAGTGCCTAAAATATTAAAGGCATGACTTATAAGACAATAATTTATTCTGGATATTTATGTACAGGGTTTAGATTAATAAAAAAAATCCAAATCTTTATATTAAAGGTCATTAACCCAATAGTTTAATTTCCATCTTATAAGACCATAGAACATTTATCTACATCTTGTGTCTTTCTATATGATGTGCTATAAAGATGTTATCCCAAGGTGAGAGTTCCCCCAACTTTCTTCTTGCAACCCTTTAATCTGTGCTAGATTTATGAAATGTGCAGGCTATTGTTATCTCAGTTGACTCCTTTAGAGCTGCCGTAGGCATCTTGGTGTCCTCTTTTACTATGGCTCTTCTTGTCCGAATACTCCGATTTGGAGGACAGCCAGTTCTAAGCAGATTCACAGGTGTTGCTCTTTTTCTCACATTCAATTATGAACTTCTTGGTGCTTTTAAGTATTAGAAGACACAGAAATGGAGTTTGGCACACTTTACAAGCAACAAATGCTGACTACTACCTATGGACCACAGTGTATCTCTCTCTTTGAAAGATATGAAAAGCAACTCCCTTTTCAGATTGTCAACAGCTTTTTTGTTCTCTTGGAAATTAGTTATACATATTACTTTTCTCACATTGTACTCACCAGGGCTCTTTTGGGTCCCAAAATGAAGCTCCAAGTCTAGGTATTTCACCATGTCACTCAGCTTGTCATAATCAGAATCTTCTTCCAACTGCAGTGAGAAACCACATCTGTCCTTACATTCTTCATTCTAACGGACTGAGCCAATCTCATAACGATTTAAGACAAGCATTTCACACAAAGATTCAGCTTATTAGGCTGAAACTTCGTACCTGTCCCCAAATGGTTCCCTCAGAATTTTCCACTTGTTCCCATCGTAGCCGCTTTACACTCATATGACTGGAGTCTGTTTTTTGTGGTGAGGCCTTTGGAAGCGGAGGAGGCATGCAAGGTGGGGGTAAAGGTGGAGGAGGAGGTGGCTCCACAGTGGGCCCATCAGTGGGGTGGTGAGTTTGAGATTGGGGTGTACTTGGTGGTTGCGTTTGGGACTGGGCCTCATGGTGGCTGTGATGGTAGTGACGATGTTCGTGATACATGGGTTGAGGGCTCTGTCTGGCCTGTGTAATGGGGGGAATCTGTGGGGTTGAGCGATGCTGTTGCTGCTGCTGAATCTTCTGAGCTTGCTGCTGCTGATACTGCTGTTGCTGAAGCTGCTGTTGAAGTTGTTGTTGTTTCTGCTGCATCTGCTGAAGCTGCTGTTGCTGCTGTTGTGAAGTATGAGGCTGGAAGGTTGACAGAATCTGTTGGGTCTGGTGAGGTTGGTGGGGCTGGTGGATCTGGTGGTACTGAGGAGCTGACTGGATTGGCTGAACCGGGTGTATGTGTTCAATCTGGTGAATGTGGCGGGTTGGCAGAGGAGCTTGGTGCATCTGGTGGTGGTACTGTTGCGGAGATGGTTGAATAGCTTGAGAAACTGCTTGAGCCATGTGTGCCCGGTGCATTTGTCTGTCCACCCTCTCCAGTCTTTCAATTCGCTCCATATGCTCAAAGCGTTCCAAACGCTGGATCTGCTCCAATCGGTCAAGTCTATCCATGGAGCTTGAGAGGTGAGCCTGATGACTCTGATGCATCTGATAAGCATGGTGTACTTGTTGATCTGGATGCAAGGGCTGGGACTGCATGCCATAGATATGCCTATCCGAGCATTCCTTTCTTTCAATTCTATCAAGCCTATCCATGGAGCTAGATAGTTGAGTCTGAATAGTCTGGTGTGAGTGGTGGCTTTGGTGCACTTTAATAGACTGAGATTGGTGACTTGGTTTATTTTTATGGATTGGATGCATCTGGTGATCCTGTTGCACCTGGTGGTGTTGGTGAACCTGGTAAGCTGGATGAACCTGATGGTGCATCTCGTAGATTGCATGACTGGGGATGGGTGACTGGTTTATTTCTGGAGAGGGCATAGGGGGCAGAGATTGATGCATCTGCTGCTGAGATTGCTGAGGGTGGCTGGCTGTTGGTTGAACTGGAAGTGAGTGGTGCTCCTGAAGGACTTGGTGCTGGGTCATCAGCTCATCACGTGTGGGCAACACCTTGTGAATGGATTGTCTTTTTGGAGGTGGGTTAGCTCTTGGCGGAGGTGGTGGAGGAGGTCCAGGGTGGCGACGGAAGGTCAGCTGTCGGGGTGCATGGTCAGGGGTGAATCCAGCAGGTGGAGGGGGGTCATTAAATTGGACGGGGGGAGGGGGAGGAGGAGTCAGAGGGGGTGGAGGAATGTGCTCTGAGCTGGAGGAGTAGGTAAGAGAGCTGGCATCCTCGCTGCTACTATGTACTTCGCTTGGACTGCTTAGCTCGGGAGGCATGTACGGACCCTCCTCCTCCTCCTCATCCTCCTCCTCCTCCTCCTCCTCTTCCTCTTCCTCTTCCTCATCCTCATTCTGGAATGTCATCTGGAGAATATCCTGGTGTTATTTTGAAGTAAAATATACAAATAGCATTGAGTTTTTGCAATAGACCATTGAAGATTAGCCATTGATCTTGTATCAAATATCAAGTCAATTAACCATTCTAATATACAAACCTCTTCATAGTCATTCTCTGGTGACAGGAAGTCTTCCACAGATAACTGCTGTCCCAGCTGCTCACTCAGAGCCTCCATGAACAAATCTGTGTCAGGGGTACGAGGTGGACGTGAGAAGGTGTAGCGCTTCTTCCGAATGGGTGGACTAGGTGGGTAGTCCGGAGGAGAGGGTGGAGAGAGAGGTGGGCTGTCTAAACTTATGTATGGGTTGGACTCAGCACTGGTTTGAGAGGGAAGACCTGGAGGGTAGCAGGGGCACTGGGGACTCAGTGGAGGCTCCTGCATCCAAGAGTCAGGCTGTAGAGGAGGTGGTGGCGGTGGTGGAGGTGGCGGCACAGGCTGTGCTGATGCAGATTTGCGGCTACCTGAGAGATGAAAATGGGAAAGCAAAGGTTAAGGAGATAAAAGGCTCTGCCTCGGATGAAATTCCTACCTATTACACAAAGAAATGACAAGGATTTTCTAGAATTCACAAGTTACAATGCCAATAAAAAACTTAGAAGTACACTGACTGTACCTGAAGTGGCCCGAACTGATGGAGAGGAAGAGTGTGCTCTGATGGACTGTGAGGAAGCGTGCGGGAAGTAGTCTACGTTAACCAGAGTTTCAGGAGTTGGAGGAGGACGACTCTTCAGGGATTTGGATCTCTTCCCAGCATAGACATTCTCCAGCTCAGCATACACAGCTGACAGCTAGATAGAGCACAGGGACTAGGTTGTTAATATAAAAACAGTGCACTTACTCAAGTATTTCAATGTTTGTAAACCTGTAAAATCAAAGAAGAGTGCTCACATTAGTCAGATTGTTGGGCGTCTCTGGTAAGGATGTTCCATCCCCTGATTGTCTCTCTCCAGGAGTCAGTCTCATAGGTGCTGCCTCCATTGGCTCATTGCAAATCCCTCATGAAGTAAGAAAATAGCCCATCAACTCTCATTTCAATTTGCTAAGAAAGCTGCAGTTTTTAAATGATGGTACATAAGCTCCCACTTCCTACAATGCTGTTTTCATGATACGTAATACTAGGTGTGAAAGTTGACACAATTTCCCTACATATATAGGTAGCTAAACATGTGTATGCCAGTGTATGCTTGCATGCCAGTGGTTGTTAAACTGGAGTCTGCAGACTTCCAGGTGCTAGGTGGCTGGTGGAAAATTTGAATTTTGCTAAATGTATGAGGACTGTTGAAGTTATATGTTTAACAGTAATTTTTTAAAACACACTTTGTGATGCTAGTCGGACAATATGAGATTACCACATTTTTGACTATAGGCAGCCCTAGTTTTATAACAGTAAGATATCAATGGCATCAACATTGAAAACTGCTGTCCTACGTTATAATGTGTAACACAACATAGTGTTTGAAAACAGTTTACCCATGCCCAAGTGAGTGCCAATAACCAGATCATCTGAGCTGTGTCCCCTCACATTGCTCCTGTAAGTGGTTCCTGTCACCTTCATGGAGCTGCTGCGCCTATGAGGCTCATGGGCTGGAGGTTCAGGTTCTGCTGTTGGCACTACCAGTAATAAATACATGCATGCATACATGTATGTACTTATACTCTATACAGACTGAAGGGCTCACGTGTAACTTTATAGCCAAGGAATCGGGAGATCTTGTTCTGGCAGTGTTCCTGCTCCTCGTAGGTCAGCAGCTGGTAAATGAACTGCCAAATCACCTGTTTTGCTGGGGTATCCAACACAGGGAAGACGTCCACAATCAAAGTGTCTACATTTCTAATGGCACAGAAGAAAAACGAATCAAATCAGGTTGCATACAAAGTTCAGGAATGTTCTCAGAGAAGCAATGGAGATATTTCCATCTTAGAATACCCATCTTAGAATACCCTTTCTTTCTTTCACTAAAATATGGGTGTGTCCTTCACCTGTGCTGGAAGAAGGCCTCCAGGGCCTTGCAGATGGTGTATCTCTCTTGGAGAGTGAGAAGGTGCTCAAGCTGCTGGCTGAAGGTGCGACCCTGTACGCGGATACTAGGAGGCAAGATCTCGGCGACCCACTGAAGGGAGCTAAGCACAGGAGCACAGGAGCGTGGAGAAACCTCCACCTGTTCAGGTTCGGTCATGGTGAAGGCCGGCGGGCCATCTTCAACCACCAAGCTGGGCATTGCCCCACTCCCCTGCAGCATGGACACCACCTTCTCATGTGAACAGCTCCTGAGGGGATGTACAAAAATACAAAGTATACACAGACTTAAGCAGGGCGCACACTGTGCTATTTTTAATAGTCCTTCATGATTGTTGATTGTCAGACTGTATGAGCATGATGATCATGTCACACTGTGGGATCTCAGTTGTCATTAATGTCAGACTGTACGACAGTCAAGATGCGTTAAAAACGGATGACCACAAGAAAACTTGACCAGAGTTTTACATTATCAACCCATACATGTTTAGTGACTTTGAGCTGCATTACACGCAGGGCTGAAATGTTGGCTATCATGAAAAGTATATGAATGGCGATCATAGGCGGAGTTTAGGAGGGGCTCTGCCCCCCCAGAAGAGAGCCAATAATGATTTTGTCTGAGCTATGAATAAAATATAAAAATTAAAGAATTCACATTTTCTAATTTTATTAGCATGATCTTATTTTAGTGGTAAGAATAAGTATGTTTTGGGCTAAATTAATTATTAAAGCCCCATATCCTTGCAAGTCGCGAATGATTCTCAACTTGAGAGGACTCTCTTTTCATTATTTTCCCGCTTTAGCAAGTTAATAAATATTTGTTGTTTTTTTTATAAACCCGCTAATAAAAATGTGGTGGACTGAGTAATTTCTGGCTGAATTGGACAGGCGATTTGAAGCGATGGCTTTGAGTGTGGCGTGTGATGCAGTATTCAGTTTAAGCATGTACGCAAGCCTTAAGATTCACCATCGGCTTGTGACAGCTGAAGTGGATCTTGTGAAATGTGCGATCGCATCGCGATTACTCTGTCTTGAGAAACTTAAAGATGAAGTAGGCTACGGAAGGACAAATATCCAAACTTTTTCAGACTATTGCAGTTTGCACTCACGCTGCCCATTGGTTCGGCTACATCAGAAATAAGTTTCTCAGTTATGAGGAGAATCTGGCTCCGATCTTCAGTGGCACAGGACAGTTTCTCAGATCTTTCTTTACTGCACATAGAGAACAATTTGACTGAAAAACTATCAGAAGAGAAGAAATAGTGAAAGACAGTGGTCATCTACGCAATTCAGAAAAAGAGGCAGCTTTTCTGCATTAGGTATTTTTTTCAGTTTTTTTAAAATGTATTTTTAATGTCGTCTTGTTGTTTCTCTCTCTCTCTCTCTCTCGTCTCCTGCTGTTCTTGCACACTGCCAGTTTCTCAGCCTAACTTTTTAATGGGCGCCACGAGTCAGAAATGACAGCACTTTCATGATTTTAGCATTCACGTCATCTGCTTCAGTTATATGTCTAATAATTCACTCCCCTTCACTTGTTTCATGTCCAAAATATATCTTTCTAAAATAGCCTTGTTTTGTTGTAGGATGCCAACTAAAATAAATGCACCACAAGACACAAACCTTTCCCTTAATGAAAACAAAAGTCAATGTCTGAAAATACTAAGAGAATAATATTGTAGAACAACAATCTAAATTAATTAATTAATCAATCTTAATTAAATAATAAATGTTTCAACATGGAAATAAGACACTTAACTTACAATCATGACCATTTTGGTTCATTTCATACCTGGTATTACAGAGTCAATCCAGACTGGAGCATGGCCACGCAGAGTAAACCCGAAACTCTGGTTCCCTTTGTACACCCGTACTGTCCTAGTGAAACATGATAGAGACATCTATAAAACAAGTGAATACAACCTATAGATGTCAAGCAGAACATCTTGTATCTTAATATAATGTAGATTAACCAATACAAATTTTTATTAAAATAACATTAATGTGATATTATTGGAAAATATCTATATTATATACATATAATACACATGCACAGCCTTCTTTGATCATATTTACTAAGGGTATTAATAATTATGAGCACAACTGTATGTATAGTATCCATACAAGTAAAAAAATGTGGCATAATGAAGGTTTTGCATAACGTTACATAATCATAGTACAAGAGTGTAATTTTACTGAACAGTGACAAAAAGTCTTGTGCCACATTTGAACTAAAATGTCACAGATTTTATATAATTAATACAGTTTGTTGTGTTCTCTATAGTTAGTGTTAATAATGTAGTCAGACAAGCTCTGAATTTCTTCCACTAGAATAGCTATGTGTATATGCTTGTCTTTATGCAAACAGCTACCAATTCTTCAGTGCAATAAAGCCACGCTTTCAGTTTTCCTACATTATTAAAAAGAAACTACACCTGCATTCCTGGAGACGTATCAATAAGTGTGTATTGTACTAATGACTGACAGGATTTCACATCCTCCCACCTTCTCCTGTTTATGCATCGGACACAGGCTTAACAGAGAATTAATTCATGCTTCTGAAATACTGTTCACAAGTCTAGTGACGTTTAAAGCATGATATAGGCTATAATGAGGAGGACGAATCTTGATGTGTCATATTTACGCTGTCACACATACACAGGTGCCAAATAGCATGACTAAAAATAACATGAATTGTAAAATGAGTGAAATATTGCAGTGGCATAAAATCTACATCATTTACAGCCTACAGCAGTTATGAAATTGGAAATCCAACAATTGAATTTATTTAAATCAATGCATCAGTCAATCAATTTATGTATCAATTGATCAATTAATCTATCTATCGATCACCTACTACTATGATTATATGAATCTAATTAAAAAAACAAATGAAAATAAAATTGCAAAATAAAATAAAAGGGTAACACTTTATTTTAAAGTGTTCTTTTTGCACGTTACATATTTTTATAATAGTAATAACAGTAAATTATAAATAATTACATGGTTAACCCTGAATCGAACCCTAACATTGCGTTTTACGTTACGTGTTAATTAATATCACTTAGTACTTGAATGTATAATTACACTGTAACAGGGACACCTTAAAATAAAATGTAACTAATAAAAGCATAAACAATATAAAAAACAGAAATTAAAAAAAAATTATATATATGTATTGAAATCTACCTAATTTATTGGAATACCTAAAACTTGAGAATGTAGATGTAGACTACTAAAGACACTCAAAATATTAACAAAAATATGAATTAGGAAATCATATAACCTCAAAGGACAAAATAGGAAAGCAAAAGGGAATAAAAAATTCTACCACATCAGTAACAAATGCAGGAAAAAACAACAGACAAGAAAAGAGTGTAAATGTTCCCATTGTGACACTTCCACTGACCTGCGGGTAGAGAAGGAGCTGGAATGGCCTGCGATGAGTGAGGTGGTCTTGCGGACACCACGGGCAGGAGGCATGACCACTTCCTCGTTGGCAGTCCGGGGCACAGAGCTGGCTCGAGTGGACACAGACAGCAGCCGTTCGGGGTGGTCTTCACTCCGGCTGCGCCGTAGCCGGTTGTTCCTGTGCTCGCTGAAGCTTCGGCCCCTCAAGCGACTGATCAAACTCTGGGAGACCATCTCATCAAAGCGCTGCCTGTGCTTCTTAGGGATGAAGATCCTGACAAACATGGCACACACACACACACAGCAGACGGAGTCACAGAGGAGAAACTGTTCAGGCGTGTGTGAACATACTCTCAAGCCTGCTGAGAGAAACACTGGATGGAGACGCACAAAGGCAAATGGAGGAGGAGGGACAGCTGTGAGAAAGTCTGCTATAATTACACCGGATTACGGAGATGTTTGTGATCTGCTCTGAAAGAAAAAAAAAGCTCATGTGGTGCAATGAAGCGTTTGTTTTCTGTCCTGTGAAGAGGGGTGGGTAAAAATATCCCGTTTGATCAACTTCAAAAGCTAAGCAGGTAAGCAGGTGACTTCAGAAAGATGTCTGATGGGCATTTTGAAGTCCTGAGAGGATGAATGATTAAAGTGAAAGAGCCCTCTGTGATACAAGCCCTCTCTGAATTTTTCATTTTCACCATCCTTTAAAAGCAAATTCAATTATCTTCTACAAACCCAATCTGTGAGTGAAAAATATGACCTTAAATGTATCATATATCACCAAAATAGTATATATTACCCACTAGACTATTTTGACTAAAATTAAAGATATGCCATAAAAAGGAATGAACCCATACATCATGAAGGACACTGTCGCAACACACAGCATCATGAGGGGACGCACAGCCCAGAAGCAGCTCAAGAGCTTCAGTTCTGGGTTAATCTTCCAGCTGCAATCATCTCAAACTCTGCTTCAGAGCTGCTTTTGCTTCAGGACACAAATCTTACTTTGGTCAAAAAATGGCGGGCCAACCTGGTGGCAAAACTGTGTAATGTACAAAAACAAAAGGTCCTTGAAAAAAAACAATAAAATGGATTAATATTTACATGACAAGACAAGACAATATTAGTAATAAATATTATACCAAGCATAAATATTATAAATATATTTTAATAATAATCCAGAGTGGAATAACCATTCAGCGAGTAGAAGAGGATAATCGGAAAAGCCATTATCTCCAGTATTCAGATGAGGAGATGCTTATTAGTGCCAACTTGAGGAGCGAAGACGTTGCATGGATGAAGAAAGAAACTACAGGTCATGTCATCTTCGAGTCAACTTTGGCAAGGTCGCCCACATCTCCGTACTGGGTTGCCTTGGGGAGTTTAACGTTGAAAAGGAGTCTACTTCCAGAACTTCCTCGTATGTGTAAACATACCTGGCAATAAAACTCATTCTGATTCTGATTCTATGGAAGCTTGTTTCTGCCATGGGATAAGATAATAAAAAATGGTAATTGCAACTTTTTACTTTCTCGCAATTCTAAGTTTATATCTCACAACTCTGGGGGGAAAAAAAGTCAGAATTCTGAGTTCTACACTCAGAATTGCAAGATAAAAACTTGCATTTCCTAGGAAAAAAAAGTCAGAATTGCAGATGCTAACACAATTCTGAGAAAAAAAAGTCTGAATTGTGAGAGATAAAGTGGCAATACTTTATTTTATTTTTTATTACTTGGCAACAAAAGTCAGAATTGTGAGAGGTTAACTTGGAATTGTAAGAAAAGTCAGAATTCTGATTCGATATCTTACAATTATTACTTTTTTGCCTCAGAATTGAGAGTTTATATCTCCCAATTCTGAATTTATATCTGACAATTGAGACTTTTTCTCCCAATAACGAATTGTGAGATATCAACTTGCAATTCTGAGGTTACATCTTGTAATTCCAAATTGCTAGAAAGGTCTGAATTGTAAAATCAAAATGAGCAATTACCTTTTTTATTTTTAATCTGTGGCGAAAAAAAAACAGAATTGCAAGACGTAAACTCAGAATTGCATGATATAAACTCAAAAAAGACAAAAATATAATAACGAATTGTGAGATATCAACTTGCAATTCTGAGGTTACATCTTGTAATTCCAAATTGCTAGAAAGGTCTGAATTGTAAAATCAAAATGAGCAATTACCTTTTTTATTTTTAATCTGTGGCGAAAAAAAACAGAATTGCAAGACGTAAACTCAGAATTGCATGATATAAACTCAAAAAAGAAAAAAATATTAAAAAGTCAGAATTTTAAAGTTTATATCTCACAATTCCCAATTACTTTTTACATTTTTTATCCTGTGGCAGAAACAGGCAACTATTTTTTCGCTCAATTCAAAGTCAAATCTGATCAACATTCAAAAATAATACCATCATCAATAGTTTTCTGGGGCTTAAACCTCACAAAGAATTCTGAAAACATGCAACAAACATCTCATAAAAAAGCAAATTGCCTCTAAACAATGGAAAATGACAGAAAAATCAAAGCTTTGTGCAAGTACAAAAAACATTTCTTACTTGCTAAAGGCGGCGTTCATGGTTCCCGATAATACAAGGAGATAGGCTATCAAGGGTTAATCAGAACAAGCTGATGAAAAGTGGGAATCTGGGTATCTGGAGCATGCTGTTCTTCTTCATAATTCACTCCTCATGGTGGTAAGGGTGATTTAAAAGTGGTCCCATTTTCAGAGTTTCCAAGTATCAAACTTAAAAAAAAAAAAAAACATGCATATTTGATAAACACTTGATGAAACAATATTTTATCCAGTAAACCTCACGGGTATAATTCCTCACTGGCAGAAAGGGGCGTTGGCTGTTCAAACTGCTCCGTCAGTGTAACTGACCATATTTCAGCTATGAGACGCATCAAATTCTCCTGACAAAGACCCTCATCAGCGAGTTATTACAGTGAGAGAGAACCGACACATGCAAACCTATGAGAGGGAGAGACTGCTTATTTAGTATATTTTCACAAAATATAATAATATTAAATATAATAATAATAATAAATTAATGACAAGTAAAAATCAATAAATAGTCTACAGTAACAATGTTAAAATCTAATATTATATTTAAATCTGTAATCTAATTGTTAATGACTAAAAGGAATAATTAAATACATCATATCATAGTTTTAATAAAAGTTATTGATGAAAAATATGCAAAGAATTTTTGTAGTTTAAGCTATAAGCATATTAAAAAATGAACAAAAATGACAAATATAGTTGTCCTAATCTTTTAAAGCATAAAGAGTTTTGGTCACACTTTATTATAAGGTCCCATTCTCACTATTAACAAACCAATAACAACGACTTTTGCCTCAAACTCCTAATTTGCTGCTTATTAATTGTTAGTAAGGCAGTTGTTAAGTTTAGGTATTAAGTAGGATTTGAGATGTGGAATATGGTCATGCAGAATATGTGCTTTATAAGCACTAATAAACAACCAATATGTTAATTACAGGCATGCTAATAAACAACTAGTTAATAGTGAAAATTGGTCCCTATACTAAAGTGTTACCAGATTTTTTTTTAAAGAAGGATGTGAGGGAATAGTCAGCTCATTAAAGATGTAATGACATGGCAAATTTATGTTCATAAAGCTGCTCTTGCTATTTCACTATACAAACAAAATGTTGAAATGCTGAAACATTTTACTCCAGTTTAAAAGTTATTACAGTTTTGAACACTTTTCAAATAGGCTGGAGGAAAGCATTTATCAGATCAGGTCTTAAGACATATCTGAAATCAACAGATATGTAAAAGATACTAAACTGAGGCACAAAACTATGAGAGAGACAGGAATACGATACTTTCCAGGGCTTTCCAGGAAACAATGTTATCTCTCAACACAATTCTGATTCACAATATAACAGAAGCATCCAGAATCCTCATGTATCTCTAACATGCTCCAGATGGGCTTGAACCTCATTTTTATTAAAGGGGTGGCTGACCGTTTTTTTTTTTCTAGGCTTGATTGTGTTTATGGGGTGCAGTCTAACATGTGCTAATGGTTCGTTTTTAAAAAAACGCATAATTTACCTTTATTCCACACCACTCTGTCCCTTCTCCTATAAACGCGCTGATCATTTCCTTCTTTTATGAAGCCCCTCCCTCAGAAATAGGCGATGGGCTCTGATTGGTTAACTAGCCCAGTGTGTTGTGATTGGCTAAACCGCCTCTAGTGCGCGTCTAAATGTCCCGCCCCTCACCTCAGCGGCATGTGCTCCGGTTGTATTGTAAACAACGGCGTCGTTAATATCGCTTATCAGTTTGAGCCCGATTGAGAAGCAGAGGATATTATTGAAGAGGATCGTGCAGAACCTGTGCAAGCATGGCTCTTAACGGTATGTTTTTTATTTGTTGTTGTCTCATGCTTTTAGATATGCTGTTATTTGTAAATGATACTGCTTATGTTAGCTTTTAATACACGGTTTTATCCTGAATAAAGCTTTAATACAGCAGAATACAAGATTGCGTTGTAGCATTTTTGTAAGTGTTTGCCAGCAAGTATTGCTCGCTACCACGGCAGTCGCGTGCGCATCCATGTTTAACACTTCTCATAGCTATGTGAAAAATAGTGTATAACTGGAACACTTAATTGACACAGACACATCAATGAAGTTCATTGATGGAGCCGTGAGGAGCTGATGAATAGAATGAGAGAGAGAGAGAGAGAGAGAGAGAGAGATGCAGAGCAGGGAGACGCGAGGAACATGATTAAGAACGTTAGAAGACAGAATCGCGATTCATATATGAATAGATATTTTCGTGCACACCTAGTTTTGACAGCATAGCAACAACTCTTCCTCTTCTCTAAAGCATGGCCCCGCCCCCTTTGTTGCATGTTCCCGGGGGCGGGGTTTAAGTAAATTTCAGGGTTTGTGATGTCATCAACCCGAGAAGTAACTCGTTGTAGTCCCTACGAGCCATTTTTGTAGGCATTAAACTGCCATAATTTTAAAAGGCGATACCTTCGTTTGCATTGAACTTTCAGCGCCGCAACTTTGCAGATATTGTTTATGCTCAAACAGCAACATTACATACTAACTAAAGTTAGAAAAGTGAAAGCACAATCAACCACCCCAACCATCTTAACAGGCTGTCCTAATTGTATTACTTGATGTTTATTAGTCCATGTTACTGTTCAAATTAAAATATAGGCTCCTTCTATAAATGTTGCTCAGAAATATTTTTACTGGGGTTATTATAAACAAAACAAAACAAAATTAATTTCAGCGTTTAAAATATAGGCTAGGGATGCACCGATATGAAAATTTTGGCCGATACGATAATCGATTATTCTTTATTTTTGAAAGCCGATAACCGATATGTTGGCCGATAAATCTATATCCAAATTGTTATATACTTTTTGAGAGCCTGATTACAAAAAAGGTCTCATCATTAAAAGCCACATCCCAAACACTTCAACATAAGCAGCCTAGTTTGAACGGTGTACGTTTTAAAAATATTTTTACTCTCCCATTACCAAATTTAGTCATAAAAAAGTCTTACAAATAAATAAAATAATGCATAAATAATGCAAACAAGTCACTGGACATCATTACACGTGTAAAGAATCAAAATGAATGCGCCATAGATCAATAAAACGGAATAGCCTCTGCACGGACAATAATTAAATGATTTTAATTACTAAACCATACTGTTGATGAAAATAATAAGAGAACAATACAAGTGGTTGTTGTTATTAATAATGCATCAATGATTTTGAAAAAGTAACAAATTAATACCACTGTTTTAAATAGCAGCCGTTGAGCTGCGCGTGCTGAAGCTGAAGAGCTGAATGAACACGGTAAACTGAAGCGTTTTGCTGGCAGCTTATTTAACTCAAGGAAATGCATCCTGAGATTAATATTAATACAACATAAACATAATATTACAACTTATATATGAAATGACAAATGACGCAGTTATTGCATGCTATAGTCAGAATGTGTGATCCTGTTGTGGATGCGCTCTTCCCATAACAACGCGCTGAAACACAGCAACTAAACCCAAAGAATGCACAACGTTTTATTATAATAATGTTCTCATTAGAATGTTATATACACGACATTCCCAATCATAGTTATTAATGTTGTGCACTGCTGTTTGAGCTGCGTGCGCTGAGCTAAAGACGATCACCGGTAAACTGAAGCGCTCTTTTAACTTAACCAAACGCATTCTATATGAGATAAATCAGATATACATCAAATAAACACAATATTACAACGTACAACTGCACAAAAGGCTGCAAACGAACAGCGCGCATCTGAAGTGTCTCTGAAGGAAATAATGCATTATTTATCGGCTTTAAGATATCGGCCAAATTTTCTTATCAGGCCGATACCGATAACAGAAAAAATGAGCATTTATCGGCCGATACCGATATGGTGGCCGATATATCGTGCATCCCTAATATAGGCTCATGCTAAAGCTTTTGTTTTCTGGAGTTAGAAACAAAATAAAATAAAATATACGTCAGGCTTGTCACCCATCCAAACACAATGAGAAAACTTCAAATGTAATTGAAAGTTGTAATTTGTAATAAATAAATTAGGGTAAAAGGGTTAGCGTCAATTTGCCACAGGAGGCCTTTGTTCACCCCCCGGAGCCGTGAGAGATACTTTTTTTTTTATGGATGGGCGCTTTTTATTTCACTTCTTTTGGACTGAAGCACTGCAACACCCGCTAACTGCAATGATAGAGCTTGGAATAGCCAGGACAATTTTATATCTAACTCCAACTGGATTCGTCTGAAAGAAGAAAGTCATATACACTTAGGATGCCTCGGGGGTGTGTAAAACACAGCCTAATTTAAATTTTTGGGTGAACTAACCCTTTAACACATAAATAAATAAATTGGGAGGCGGGTCATATAACTGGATTAATGAAAGCTCATAGGTACCTGATGCTGTCAATCAGTTGCTGATGTTCCTCAGTGAGCAGTATTTCTGGAAGTGTAGACGCTAGACCTTCAACATCCCTCTCATTTGCATACTGCTTCAGCAAATCAAAAAGCCTCTCTTTAACCTCAGGCTCCTCCCCTAAAATCTCCTCAACCTATAAAAATTCAGAACAGACCATTTTAACTTCACCAACTCTGGAGTTTGAAAATGCCAGTGAAAAATATATTCTATTGTGTGATGTTTAACCAGTCCAAACTAACTTTTTGAGGTTCGAGTAACAGTTTAACAATTTGTGTTAACACCTTAGTTTAGGGACTAATTCTCACTATTAATTAGTTGCTCATTAAAATGCATATTACTAGCATATTGGCTGTTTCTTAGTACTTATAAAGCACATATTAATGCCTTATACTGTATAACCATATTTAAGCTCCCTTAATCCTACCCCATACCTAAACTTAACAACTTACTGACTATTAATAAGCAGCAAATTAGGAAAAATTTATAGAGGCAAAAGTCATAGTTAATAGTTAGTGACTAGTGAGAATTGGTCTCCAAACTAAAGTGTGAGCCAGTTTTTCCATGCCCCTTGAAACTGACCTTCTTGTTGAACTCCAGAGCTTTATGTTTGCGGTCCTGCCTCACCATGTCTCCGCTCTGATATGTCTCTTTCATGCTGCTGCTGGTGCGTTTCTGCCAGCGGTTCATCCGCAGCACACCCAGACGCAGCGTACGTCCCTGAGAGGCCTTGATCATGGCCGCCGCCGTCTCATGGTGTTTCACTGGATTCCCATTCACCTCCATCACAAAATCACCTGCTCGCAGTCCACTCCGGCCGGCTGGAGAGTTGAGCGTGCAGTCCTCCACCAGCAGGGGACTGTCTCCCACTATAGTAAAGCCAAAACGACCATCAGGCCCCGGGGCAATGTCCAGCTGTGGTGGTAAAGTGGATAAGGGTGAGTGACATTGGTTTGCACTACAGAAGCAAAGGAAAATTAGGAGAGATCTGAAGTCTCTTTTACAAAACAAAGGCACCTTATATATAATTGTATTATTTAAATTATTATTTTAGATATTTACACCAGTTTAAAAGTGTATTTATCAAGAGGCATTTATCATGTTACAAAATATTTCTATTTCAAATAACTGCTGTTCTTTCGAGCTATTCATCAAAGAATCCTAAAAAAAAAAGCATATATGTCCATAAAATGTTATTACTCCATACAAATATTTCTGTAAAAACAAGAATCACAACCATTTTCAACACCAAAAATAATAATAAATCAGTATATTTGAGTGATTTCTGAAGGATCATGTGACACTGAAGACTGGAGTAACGATGCTGAAAATTCAGCTTTGCATCACAGGAATAAATTATATTTTAAAACATATTCAAATAGAAAAATCACAGGAATACATTTCTGTGCATTTATTATATGCATAATATATAATACTTTTTAATATCTATGCAAATACAACAATTATATGAAATAATTATATTTTAAATTGTTATATTTTTTTACAATATTACTGTTTATAATGTATTTGTGATAAAGTAAAGCAGAATAACAGACTTGTTCAGAAAGAAATTCTTACCTCACGCCTTCATTTTTAATTTTTCTTTAGGAAAAAATTAATTAGATTAAAAATGAATGTGTTGCAATGCAAATACTTTTTATGGCAACTGTATTTATATATAGAGAGAGAGAATATAGAGGTGATTTGGGACAATTGTTAAGAACTTGTTAAAAATAGCTTTTTTATTTAGCAATCAACCAATTTCCCATATGAACTGCTTTTTTCTCTTGAATTAGGTCAACTGAAATTGAATTTAAGCCTGTTTTGTTATTAACAGTAAAAATGGCATGTCAGTGAAGAAAAACTGGCCTGTTCAATTCTAGACACAACGCCGATGCTGGGCGGCACAGTCTTGAGGTTCTGAGCCAGAGCGATGAGGGCTTTAGAGCTGAGGGACGAGACGTTCTGCCCGTCGATCTCCAGAACCTGGTCGCCTGGCTGCAGTCCGGCCATGAAAGCGCTGCTGCCCTCCACCACAGAGAGGATGTAACTGGGTCCATCTCCCCCCAGCTTAAAGCCAAAGTCCTCTGGCCAACCCTGATTATTTGCTGGAAGGCCCAGTTCTGGAAAAAGTGAATACAGGAGAGATAAGAGGCAAGGAGAAAAAGAGAGATTTGAGAATCAACTTTCATTAGCGTATTCGTATTTCTAAAGTATGTACTTGTATGTATGCATTTATGTATGTTCACAACATAGTGAACCATAGAGTTCCATATATCTATACTAAAAAAATAAATAAATATATCAAATAAATATTCACTCCAAAAGACATCTATCCTAGTTGATAAAATATAAAATTAATATTGAAGTAAAATAAAATATTGGAAGAATACCAAAATCCCCACCTTAATTTAAACCAAATCTTCACCTTTGCATTTATTTTCGAGAACAGTTCAGGCATTAGTTTCAGCACTTATAACCTACTGTAGTGCTGTAGTGACCTAGTAACAGATGGGAAAAAAACGGTCAAGCAATTACTTTACGCACCAATATTCAGTGGGAAATCTCTCAGCACGTTAGGGTTCGGGTCTGTGGAATTGAGGAAACATATTAATTTGTTTATGTACATGTCTGCATTAAATTACCATATAATGTAAGGTAAAAATATATAAGCATCTCAACTGTCTAATAAAATATATGTTCTTTAATAAAAGGAGTAGAAAATATAAGACTATTTTTCTCAGTTCCCACCTCACAGAGCTCCATGTTCTGCTTTATGAACTTACAGAAATCTTTGGAGGCACTGCGGGATCCCGATCGGCTTTGACGAAGAGAGAAACGGCCCTTCTGGCTCTTCAGAAATCTTCTCATCATGGTTTCTGGGTCTTCTGTGTGGAAGTCAAGCTGTAAGAGGTCACCTCAGGTCAGCACCTCCTCAACAAGTCACTGCTCCATCATTACCAAAAAAGCAATCGATTCGGCAGGTTTAGCCTCTATCGAGGATCATATCAGTCCAGTGTAGATCAGGAGAGCGCTGTCAAGCTCTCTGCAGCCGTGGCTCTACATCTCAACTAAGTTGGTCCAGTTCAAACCCTCTTGCAAAGCGCCGAGCAGAAATCTGGGACAAGCTAGCTGGGTCTTTTAATGATTCTTTTGCAAGAAAAAGGTACTTTGAAGCCCCATTGTTCTATAAATACCTCCCTCTCCCTCTCTCTCTCTCTCTCTCTCTCTCTCTGTGATGCTGGAGGATTGGGCCCTCTCTCAGGGCTGAGGAGTGACCCAGAAACTTCCTGTCAGAGCAGCAAAGGACGGCGCTCCGATTACAGATCCTCAGAGATGCTGTGGTACAGTTAGACGTAGTCTGGTACATTTAACTCCAATTCCCCTTCTAAGAATCTGATTCGCTATCATTCTCCCAACTGTTCCTTATTCAAGCACAGTCTCAGAACACCAGAAATGGTTAACTGCCAACTCTGCAATTATAGGTATGATTTAATATGATATTAATAGCATTTGCAGCATGACGTCAAAAAGTAATGATCTTTGTTGCTGGTTTGACCTCTGCAAAGAAAGAGCAGCCCACTTGTGACCTTATGGTATATGGAAGCAAACAAAACACAAAGTACTTTGTTTACTTCCCTGTAAGTAAATATACTGAAAGTAACTTTGAATAAAAGGGCACATCTCCTAAAACATGTATAAAAAAATAAATAAAATGTTTTGGTCACAAAAGAAAACAAAAAATATATAAATAAAACAAATTAAAAAAAGTAAAACAAAACTATTTTGAATATAAAAACATATATATAGCATTTAAATAAAAGAAATGTAAAAAAATTAAAAATAAAAACAAAATCAACAAAAAACAAAGTACAAAGTAAACTAAAAAATTACATTTCAAACAAAAAAATTAAATGTAAAATTAAACTAAATAAAACTAAACAAAAATTTAACATTTTCATTCATTTTAAATACAAAATAAAAACCAATTATATAAAATTTTAATAAACATAAAACAAATAACACAAAACTAAAAAGTAAAAAGTAAAAGTAAAATGAAACCATTTAAAAAAAAAATCTTTCAAATAAATTAAGGTATTAAAATAATGAAAATTCGATTTTTTTTTTTACAAGTAGAAATTGTGCTTAATTGTCAAAATAATTAAATAATGCTCCTAATTATTAATACAAACAATTTTATTTGTATTTCTTTTGATTTTGGGGATATAATGGGGTTACAAGTGCTTTTTCTGGCTATAATAAAGAGTTAATGCAAAAACAAAACAGTGTCTTAAAAAAGACATTGGATACTACAAGATGACCCTTGATAATCCTATTTAATATCACTCTGAAACTTGTCAAACCACAGGGTACAGTTTTTTAACGGATCATTTGCAAGTCACGTCAGGGATTCAATTATAGCAGAAAATAAAAGAAACATGTCATTATATATGGGTATATGTGACGGCCTGAAGGGGCAAAGCACTGATGAGCTGATGGGAGGGAGAACAGATAGTGAAGGTGACCAGAGCTTCATTATGCCCCCGATCTGCCAAAATGAAGTGTCCCCCACCTCGATCTATCACTTCACACTGGATATAAGAAAAAAACATCAACCTCATGCTTGCCAACTCTCAAGCCGATATAAGTCATGCGGGCTTGTAGACTGAAACACACACTGCATCAATCACAAGCTCAATCTTTTGAACTGTTGATTTCAATCAAAAATGAATTATACACATTAAAATGATCACCACAGTGATCAGAAATGCTTATTAGCCTCAATGGGCAAAAATATATCCGAACTCCTGTTAGGATCGTAAACAACAAAACAGCAGAATAACATCAAGAAAAAAACATCAACCTCATGCTTGCCAACTCTCAAGCCGATATAAGTCATGCGGGCTTGTAGACTGAAACACACACTGCATCAATCACAAGCTCAATCTTTTGAACTGTTGATTTCAATCAAAAATGAATTATACACATTAATATGATCACCACAGTGATCAGAAATGCTTATTAGCCTCAATGGGCAAAAATATATCCGAACTCCTGTTAGGATCGTAAACAACAAAACAGCAGAATAACATAAAAAATGTGCAGGTATTATGTCAGTAAGTTATAACTGAAAGTTCATTGCAAGTCCTACTGAAAAAGCACATCTATATTTGTATATTTAGCATATACTAATCTGCTTTTAAACCCTCCAGAAAGTCTTGCTCCATAGACTTCCATTTGATTTTTGTTTGTTTTTACAAACTGAGGGACAAAATATTACTTTACAGGTTCAGTCAATAACACTGACGTGCTTTTTGAGGCCAGAATAATTCCTTAGATGACTGTATAAATTATGGATTACTAAGAACTGGTCATTGAACGAAGAAATACAGAGGTACATAAAAATATATTTAATGTTTTATACTTTCGTTCCCTGCCAGGTGTTTTATGGGCCCTGTTATTGGTGGCAACATGCCATGTTACATATTCATGATGAAAGTCGTATATGATTATATGCCATGCAACAGAGAGAAAAACTGATATAGAAAAAAAACATGGTTTTGCCGTCTACTGAAAATGGCATCAGTTCTTTAGTATAACCTGCAGCTTGAAAACAATCCGTTTAAAACCCAAAACACAAACTTTTGAAAGTTTCCATAAGCAAAAGTTATGAATCCATCTTGCAGTGCAAAACATGTGGATTAAGGCCTCCCAGAGAACCGAAATGCTACACGGCTGTTCATGTAACAAACAAAACATATTCAATTAACAGAACCTGCATCTTAGACCACTACCACGGTCTGGATTTCCATTTCGTCGGGTGAAGCGATGAGGTACTGCTCCTCCTGCTCCATTGTCTCAACGTTCTCAGCTGTTACCATGGTAACTGTGGTGTGGGGCATCTCCACGGCACCCTCTGTTGTCGTAGTGAGGATGGTGCCGTCGCTTATGGCATTTGCGAGTGTCATTGCCACCTGCTCGGTCAAGCTCTCAGGTGTGGCGATGGTGATGGTGTCTCCACAGTCCGAGATGCCAGGGGTCTCATCTGCGGCTATGTTACGCACGATGATCTGGTGGCCTCCGTGCGATTGGCTGACGATCTGCTGCACCACCTTCATGATGTGACGGTCCATCTGAGGTCAGACACATCGATCAATATGGTTACTCCATTTAGATGACAAACTGTCCTTTTTTAATCTTGCTAATATTTGCTTTAGGTTGACATTGATGTGAGGGAAATTTGAAAAATGACCTGCTGCTGATTGTCTTGAATTATTGCCACTTCTTCCCCTTGAGCTGCTTCCTCAGCTGGTGGCTGAAAAAAACACATAATCAAACACAAAATCTATATTTGAAACTAAATTATAGTCACTGTATTGCAACAACTATCTTTATCATATATATTTTTAAATCTTTAGTTTTGGCCATCCATATTATTTATTATAAAATATAATTAAATATACACTAGTGTTTGAAAGGTTGGGGTCAGAATGACTTTAAAAAAAGGGAAATGAATACTTTTATTTAGCGAGGATGCATTAAATTGATCAAAAGTGACATTAAAAGTTACAAAATAAATCTTGTTCTTTTGAATTTTCAATTCAAAATCATGGTTTCCACAACAATAATATGAAGCAGCACAACTGTTTTCAACATTGATAATAATAAAAATGTTTCTTGAGCAGCAAATCAGTATATTAGAATGATTTCTGACTGATCATGTGACACTGAAGACTGGAGTAATGATGCTGAAAATACAGCTTTTCATCAAAGAAATGAATTACATTGAAACAAAAATGCAATAATATTTCACTGTATTTCTGAGCAAATAAATGCAGCTTTGGTGAGTATAAGAGACTTATTTCAAAAACATGACCCCAAACTTTTGAATGATAATGTAACAAGTGGTGGAAGATAGTGAAAATCAAGTAATATTGCAGACGTAATGATATAAAAAAAATAAGAAATAAATGAAATGAATTAAAACAAAAAAGACATAAAACGGGTTAGATTTGTCTTCATTATTAATTACAACCTATTTAAATCATTTTATTGATCTTTTTTGTTGAATGTACATGTTGTTCATATAATAATTTTCATATCATCATATCATATCTACACACATGATCAGCAACACATTAGTCACCTCAGCACATCAAGTCACATAAGCATACATAGCCCACGTGCGGTTTACCCCTATGATGTATTCCTGAGTGTCGGCCACCACTGAGGAGAACTCCACCAGCACAGCATGAGGGTCGTCTGATACGATCTCAGCCGACAGCTCCTGCTCCTCAGAGTTCCCCGCGGGTTCAGAGTCCTTCTGCTGCACAGCAAAACAGCCTCCTGACCACACACACACACATATACAGTCACTGTAAGACTTCATGATGTCTAAAAATAGCTTAAATGAGTCTCTCGAGTGTTCTCATGTTTTAGAGAGGAATTCCAGAATTAAATATATATATATTATGGCGCTTTTCCACTGCGTGGTACAACTCGGCTCGGTACGGTTCAGTACGGTTTGCGTTTCCACTGCAGTTATAGTTGCGCCGCCTCTATTACCACGACTCCTAAAAAAAACTTTTTCATTCCGCATCGCCCCATCAAGCTCTTGCTGGATCCGCTCCTCTGCTATCAACGAGAGGAACGTCTGTACTTCCGCAACAGACAACAAAACTTTTTGGTTGTTAAAAAAAAGGTGCGCTCGTTCAAAACAGTTGTGTTCGATCCTTCGCTGGCTGTGCTGATTTAAATCTAGCAGTTCTGTTGTGTTTGTGTCGCAAGTTCAGTGACGCAGGTAGTGACGATTCTCTCCGGCCAATCCGTGATCAGCAGAGTTTACTCGTCACGTTTTGGTAACGGTACGGTTCACTTGGAACCCCAACCGAAGTGGTACTAAAAAAAGTACCAGGTACTGTACCCAGTGGAAAACCCCCCAAAAGTGAACCGTCGTCAATAAATGAGTACAAAACAGTGTTTCCTAGCACCTGTCGCTTACTGATTTTTTGGAATTATAAATATGAGCGTAGTTCGTCTGTTAATATCACATGCAGTTTTTTGTTTGTTGTTTTTTTTAGTTTGTTACTCAGACGCAGGCAGTGCGCTGCATGAGACAAAAAAGTAATCTAGCCTAAACAACCGCATAGCCGCTCTTTAGTGTACATGCACGATGATTTTATCAGACGATGCTGCGATTTATAAATGAGTGACCCCTGGTTAACATGTATTAAAAGGGGTCGTGTTTAGTCACTATTTAGTGTGGTATTTTTTGACAATATTCACTCATCATGACAGTAAAATAGGGCATTCTAAGTCAATATACTGCAGTATTTCCTCTCTCAATCAGTAGAAAATATGGTTAACACCCGGTCATGCATGAAAAAAAAATACACCGTCATGTACCGTGAAACCGGTATAATTTTGAAAAACACCGTGATATAAATTTTTGGTCATACCGCCCAGCACTAATATATATATATACACACACACAAGTTTAGCTAGACATTTTAATGTTTATTATGCTCACCAAGGCTCCATTTACAGGATCAAAAACACAGTAAAAAGAGTAACAGAGTAATATTGTAAACTATTACTTTAAGTTTTCTATTTGAATATATTTTAAAATGTAATGTATTCCTGTGATTCAAAGCTGAATTTCCAGCATCATTACTCCATTCTTCAGTGTCACATGATCCTTCAGACTATAAGTTGCTTTCGATAAAAGCGTCATCTAAATAAATGCAAAAAATGCATTAATGTACATTTTCGTTACTTGAAAGAAAGTATTTTAAAAGCTTAAACTTATTTTATTTCAGCTAGTTGCCAAGGCATTGTTTCTCATTTTCGTTTAGCTTAAGTTGAAGCACTATAATACAACTAAAGTTATAGTTATATAGTCATAACTACAACTAAATTATAATAAATACTATATAGACATTTTTAAAATGAAAGCAAAAGCAGAAAATATACAAATGAAATCGAATTCAAAATATTAACAAAAACTATGAAACTATATGAACCATACTGAAATAACACTGGTTTACAGTCCATTTTGTTTTGTTTTGAACCATAATAGACACATTTCAAGAGATGCTTAAAAATGAGTTCAATTCAATACAAAATACTTTCTGATATTCATATTCTCCATTATAAACAAAACAGTTTTTAACATAAAATGTTCATATGTTAATAATAAATGTTTCTTGAGCATCAAATCAGCATATTAGAATTTCTGATCATGTGACACTGAAGACTGGAGTAATGATGCTGAAAATTCAGCTTTGAATCAAATGAATAAATATTTTAAAATATATTGAAATTGAAAACCGGTATTTTAAATTGTAATAATATTTCACAACATTACTGTTTTTACTGTATTTTTGATCAAATAAATTCAGCTTTGGTGACCATAGATTTTCATCATTATTAATTACAATCCATTTGAATAATTTTATTAATAATAAAATGAATCATTATTTAATCATTTCAGATATCCACATTCTGTATATGGATATCATAAATAAATTAAAAAAAAACATTTAGGATATCCATATCCAACAGTGAATCTGTTCTTTAGAAAGTTTTGCAGCTTATAATTAGGACTTTTAATATGCCAGAAAACACATTATAAGTCCTACTAATGTGTACTAGTTGTTTTCTAACATTCACTTCAGTTTTAATAATTTTAATGATTAATTAATACATAATTTTAGTGAATCGTGTTTATGAACCTTTAGCTCGCAGGTGACGGTTGAGCGTGCCATGCTCAGCAAAGCCCCGGCCGCAGTTTGAGCACTTAAAGGGCTTTTCTCCCGTGTGTTGTCGGATGTGCCGCACCAAAGCGCTCTTTTCCCGGAAGCCACGGGAGCAGTGCGGACACACGTATGGCTTTTCCTCGCCATGAGTGCGGTGGTGGACCTGCAGAGCATTCTGGAACACAACAGACATGCGATGGCTTAAAGATGACAATGTAAAACCTAAGGACTGTGTTTGCATATTGTTTCTGCATGTTGACCTCACCCTGGTCTTGTAGCTCTTGTCACAGAAGCTGCAGTGGTACGGCCTCTCGTCTGAATGTGCTCTCATGTGTTCCCGCACGTGTCCGATGGCTTTAAACTGTTTGCCGCACTCTCCGCATTTGTAGCGCCGCTCGCTGACGTGCATCTCCATGTGTTTCTTCAGCACGTAGCCCGTCAGGAACTCCTTCTGACATGTTAGGCACTTAAACGGCTTGTAACCTGAGGAAGGGAAAAAAACATTCAGAGGCTCAGCCATTACACAAATATTATAGATTGGTAATGAATAAACTGCTTTGAATGGGGCGTACCAACATGCCCTTTGACATGGAGCCTCAGGTAGGTCAATGTCTTGAACATGCGCTCACAGTGAGGACATTGGTATAATTTTGACTCGACAGGTTCGTCTTCCTTCACAGACGAATCCTACAATGGATAAAATACAGTTTGAAGTCTCATCTGTGTTGTTTTATTGAAATAAAACATGCCGTCACAATCTAAGAAACTCACTTGCGTTTCCTCGGCCACAGTCTCCACACATTCCTCCGTCACCTGGATCTCAGTGAGTCTGGCGTCAGTCTCAGGAGCCTGCAGGACTGCTTTAGGTGACCGGGCCTCTGCCTGCTCGGCCGCCTCGGTGGCTTCGGTCTCCAGCGCGATGCCAGAGTTTATGATGGCCTGGCAGATTAGATTGTCGGCTTCAACCACAGTCACAGTTTGAGGCTGTGACACGACCTGTGTTAGATGTTGTCAGTAATAACATTAGTAATGATTTGGTCAGCCTTAACTAACAATGAACAACAATTTTTACAGCATTTATCTAGATAAATGATATTTTATACTCGGTTTTGGGAAGGTTACTTTGGAAATGTAATAGCTTACAGATTACAAGTTAACCAATTCAAAATGTAACAGATAGTGTAACTATTTCAATTACTTTATTAAAGTAATGTAACTGATTACATTTGATTACTTTTCTAAATTTCTAATGTTTTCAACCATTACTCATTTTGAATCATTTAAAGCAGGAAGGGTTTTTACCTTACAGTAGTGCTCAACACTGATTACTGTCAGACTTTCCAAATCCTTCATCTCTTGAATTATTATAATAATTACATTTTAAAGCACTAATCAGACTTTAGCAACTCTTTTTACTTTGAGATCGCTCTGAGGTTAAATACGGATTTAAAAGCATAACCAGATATAGTTTAATAGCTATGATACTGTTTTTGAAATCAAATCTTTGCATAGCTATGACAGGAAACACTGGCATATACATAAACCCAAATAGAAATTAAAACAGTTATCAAATAGTCCAATTCTGTGTACTAAACTCCTAAAACATTGGTGTCTCATATTTTAGAGCGGTCAATGCAATTTGGGAAAGAAATCAATCAAATCTGTATGTGTGTGTGAAAATATTCAGATGTAACCCCTTTGTAATTGTTAAAGGGATAGTTCACCCAAAAATTTAAATTATCCCATAAATTACTTACCCTCAATGCATCCTAGGTGTATATGACTTTCTTCTTTCAGACGAATCCAGTCGGAGTTATATAAAACATTTTCTTTGATCTTTCAAGCGGTTTAATGGCACTCAGCGGGTGTTGCAGAGCTTCAGTCCAAAAGAAGTGAAATAAAAAGCGCCCATCCATAAAAATAGAAAGTGTCTCACACGGCTCCAGGGGGTGAACAAAGGCCTCCTGTAACGAATCGATGCGTTTTTGTAAGAAAAATAACCATATTTAAAAAGTAATAATCACTTTATTGTAGCTTGCGCCAACAGTTGTACATGGAAGCTGCTCTGGGCAGATGACGTATGAGTTCAGCGCTGCGCATGCACCGTTTACAACAGTGAGCACAAGCTAGATTAAATTGATTATTACATTTTAAATATGGATATTTGTCTTACAAAAACACATCGATTCGCAACAGGAGGCCTTTGTTCACCCCCCGGAGCCGTGTGAGACACTTTTTATTATGGATGGATGCACTTTTATTTCACTTATTTTGGACTGAAGCACTGCAACACCCACTGAGTGCCATTAAACAGCTTGAAAGATCAAAGAAAGTTTTATATAACTCCGACTGGATTCGTCTGAAAGAAGGACTGATGCCATTTTTAATATAACTCCCGACTGGATTCGTCCGAGAGAATAAAGTCATATACACCTAGGATGCATTGAGGGTGAATAATTTATGGGATAATTTTCATTTTTGGGTGAACTAACCCTTAAACATTTTCATAAGTAACTAATTTAATTACACATTTTTCTCAGTAACTGTAACAGATTACAGTTACATTTGTTTTTTATTTATTTAATTAATTAAATGTATTAATTTATTTGTTTTTATTTATTTATTTGAACTAGTTACTCCCCAACACTGTTTAAAAATATACTTTTGTTCTTTGTTGAATTATATTTTCTCATAATAGTTCATGGATATCTAATAGATTCGTTTACAACCAAGGCACAATTCGACACAGGATTTTCAGAAAGAATGAAACTAAAAGATAATGCTGTACCGACTATATTGGATCTGATGTCGCACCACACAAGTGTGAGTAACTGTTTTTATTACGTGCTCACTATAGCTTTGTCTGTTATTACCGATCGCTTGATATGTACCGAGTATTTATGCATTTTTAACCTAAATCACAGCAGCGCCATCTGTAAGGGAAGAAGCTGTCAAACATACACAACTATTAGCCAATCATAGCAGCGGGTGTTTTGATAACATTATAAGTGGACCTAAGAGAACAGTACAAAGTGAAAAACGAAGGAAGTTCATGAGCCCTTTAAATATTATAAAAAATCATAATAATAAAAATGAATTATATGATCTTATCAATGTTGGGAAGGCAAAAAGAAATATCAACTTTTGGTCCAAAAAAATTTGCAGCTCCCAAAAATACAATTGAACTGTTCATGCTTTTTGAATCAGTGAAATTCAACATGCTTTTCTGCGCCAAAAATATTTGAAATCAACGTGCTAGTTTTGTTAGTCTCGTACCTGTTGCACTTGTCCTACCACCTCGATCTGGAAGATTTCCTGACCAGCTTCCACAACCCTCACCACAGGAATGTGCTCCTTCTCAGGTTCAGGAGGTGCCGGCTCAACTTCTAGAATGATAACAGCAATACAATCAGAAAACAAACCAGCTAAATAAAAATAAAAATGTCAGCATGAAATGAACACTCACCATCAATTTCTGAATGCACGGTATATATCTTATCTATTCATGCATTTTTTTGACCTTGCAATACTAAATAAAAGGTGGTCATAACTAGAGCCCGACCGATATATCGTTTTGCCGATATTTTCGGCCGATATGAGCCTGTCGCCGATATTTGCCCCCTGGATGAAACGCTTTAAAGCTTAAGTCTATGGAAAACCATTGAAACTTTGAACGGCCATATCTCCATTCGCGAGATAGTGAGCGACACCAGTCAACACTTTCCCTTCAGTAAGGAGGTTTCTTGTTCAGGCAGCATTCAAGCGTTGTCTTGTTCAAATGGACGTGAAATGTGACAACATGCCCCGTAGGTGGAACACATTGTAACATCTGAGGGGCACATTGTAACTTGACCATATGATAGCTTAAAATCTTATCTGATCGAATGAAAAAAATATAAAAGACAAACTAAAATATTTTGTTAATAAAATATATATTATATATATATATATATTTTTTTTTTATATATATATATTTTTTTCAAATAAAATAATGGCGTTTTTTAAGAATTAAAAATAATCTGATTTTGGAGTTTGACAATGAACACATTGCAACCATGCTTGGCACGGCCCACATAAATGAGCAAAAATTCTTTACATGTCTTGAAATAATTAATTAAATGAAATAGTGTAAATTACATCGCTAATGTCATAGAATAGCACATTGTAACGCAGTGTTAGAACGAGCCCCATCTGCGCAGCTGGACATTAAAACTGATT